TTGCACGTAGATGAAACCTCGATGTTGCTAGATAAAACGCATCCAGATACGTACCGGTTTGTTATCGAAAACAACGGGCCGCATAATTTTAATGGATAGCTATAAATAACTATACAATAGACACGCCAGATCGTAAAGTTCATGAAACTGTTGTTAGCGCTGTCACAAGCTCGTCACGTGCACGTGAATTTCCAATGCGTGTACAAACATCGAGCCGTTTCTTCTTACGAACTTCTTAGAAGAGACTTCGAGATCGATGAGACTGTGTGTTTCAACACGATCGTCACGTGAATCACGAGCGTTTCATGTATTACTTATTCTTTCGTGGCAAGGATAAATAGGAACATTAATCGTTTCACATCGCGATTCTTACGTTACACTGCTATTTAGTTGATTTATCTAGTTAAACCAAACATTTTCGACATGTATCGTCTTAGATATTTCAATTGTGTTGAAAGAATTCGAAAGAGCCCAATATCAGTGACCACCATAGTACTCGATCAGTTAACCCTTTGCACCCGTTAGTTTCTCACTCATAGAAATTTGCAACATTATTCAAGGTGTTCATCAAAATAATTTCGCTACATCGAGTCAAATGGCGACTAGAAGTCGCCTCCCGACTACCAAGGATTAATAGAAAAACTGTACGTTTAAATTTACATTCAGAGAAATCATCGCTCGGAAGCGTCTTAATTAACAATGGATCTGAATACTGATTGATCGATTTCCTCGAACGATCATTAATTACATCAGCATCCGATGGGCACGTCTCGGTCGTGCCTGTCCGGTGTTTTCCTTCTCTTTTCCCGCGAAACGGTTTGATAATATTCGTGACGCGTTCAGCCACCTCGCTCGTGTTATTAATTCGGATTGCAAAACGGCCGGCGAGGCGGCACGTTCCGTAACGAGGATCGGGGAAGGTCGGCCGGCCAACCTTGGTGTCCTCCGCAGAAAAAGTAAGATGGCGATTATGCGCACGGATGTTTTGTACCAAGCGGATCCGGCGGCGATTTCGAGGAACGTTTCGGTAATCGTACGGACGTTTCGCCGGTTGATAAATACCGGCGTTTCGTAAAAACAAAAGTCAGCGACATTTTTCGCTGCGTCGATGCGTACGGCCGCGATTATGCGTGCGAGGCGTAGTGATGCGCGCGCGCGCGGGCGCGCGGGCGCGCTCGTTCTCGCCCGCTACGCCACGGCGTTCGCCGATCACGAGTCCGACGAATGATTCTCTTGTTGTCTATCGTGAGCCGCTGGTAGCCTTTGAATTCGTCAAATCGCCGGGACGCGTGCTGCTCACGAGAATCGATACAAGCTAATTAAAGACCGCGAGGGAATTACTGAAAAAAACGGCGGCGGCGGCCGCGTTCTGGCCCGACGATAAAAGACCGATAAAAACCGTGGGTAAATTTTTCATCGGACACAGCCTCTCCTCGTTGCGAGAGCAATTGTTTACGGTTTCCCGGGTCCAGCGGAGACGTTCGATGCGTACGCGCAAACGGATCGTCGAATCGTCGAACAGGTCGAACGGATTGCAGCCGGCAGCAATAGCGCAACGGGAGCGCGAGATACTGCACGATAAGATCGGCTCGGCGGCTAGAAACGCGAGAGCATCGGAGGAAAAAGAAATTTACATAGTAATATTCCATGAGATTGCGTGGCGCGCGATAACGGGCACGTTCGAAAAGAGAAAAAGCCGACGATAAAAACCGCGCACATAGACGGGCGGAAAGGCGCGCGGATATCGGTGCCGATTACTCGATTTCTGGCTAGGTATCCTTACCACGAATTCAGAACGATGACTCGTCCGACGGCGTCGAACTCGTTGACGTTCGTATTCCTGTCGCGCCGCGCCGCGAAACCGGTCGCTTCTTAATGAATAGTCGCGGAACCGTTCCGGTCGCGCTGATAAGACGGCGCAATTATAAATTGCCCTGCGTCGAACGTGATTAGGTAACCGCGTGCAGTAGAATCCTCCGTTTTCAAAGCCAATTACCTCGCGAAATACTCTTTTTCCGTTCGTTGCCAACAACTTCGAAAGCGCGGAATTCTTGACTTCTGCCCTGGTCGTTAAGAAGAAAAGCTACTTAACGCTCAATCTGGCTTTTCGAAAGCAAATTTATTCTCTTCCCTTGTTTTCTCGTACAATAATACCAATGGCTTACGCGTTCAACTTAGATTCATCTCGAGTAACTTAGACAAAGGAGCCTAAAGTGCGTTAAGCACTGATTGTCGACTGATCGAGACAAATGACACTGATGCGTTGCCGACCGGTTAATTGTTGAGGCGTAGCGCGAAAGTCGAAAGTCAACGTTGAAATCCACTGATCGTCGGAGTATCGGGTTCATCGGACGTTCTTAAAAAAGTTTTTCCATCGCGCGATTGCAAGCGAAACAGTCGAGCGATATTATTTTAGCCGCTGGACCGGACACGGTCGCAATTGGAGAAAATTGATAATTATGTTCCCGAAGCTGTGACACACGGCGCGACGTGGCGGCAAGTGGGTCACGCCGCCGTGTGAATTGCGTTAACGCGCGCGAAAATCGATAGATAATATTTCGCGCGCCCCTAATCTCGTTAAGACGGCCGGTCTAGCGGTGTAACGGGCGCCTATGGTCGCGGAAAGTGTCGATGTTCAAGGCGGTTGGGATAGAAAATAGCGATTCTCGAGATGGGTGCGTCTTCAAGGCGACGTTAGCGCAAAGACAATATACAACAGGTGATTAGATTAACGAGAAGCAATAAACATCCCGTTGCCGAGGCCGTAGCACGCCTCCGACAACTATCGGTTGTCGTTCCGCGGCTCCATCTTATTTTAGCGCCCTGGCGCGGGATGTAGAGCGTCCGAGGGGATTCCCCGATCCTCATTACGAATTCTATTCTAAATTCAGCGCCGCGGAATCTCCATTATTTGGGATGGCATTTTTTTCAGATTCCCACTTGTTGCGCTCTCCCCTCGAATAACCAACCCCAATTAAAGGAAACGTGCTAAAATTTAAATACGGTAAAACCTCTATTAACCGAGTCGTTATTCCCTTGTTATCTACAAACTCGATAACTCGGATTCTTAAGTTATGCCTCAAGATATATACGAATTTTGCGAAGATCTTCAAGATTTCTCGTCCTCGTTTCTTTGGATAGTTAGTCATACGATTACATCGAGCGATCGTGGTGTTACCATATTTCCGGATTCGACGCTCGGGGATCCCACGTTTAGCAATGGTATCGCAGACGGTCGCCGCGGATCACGCGTTCCATAGGCTGTGGAGCATGTATATTAAGACAGAATGGAAATCGTAGTATTATTATAACTCCGGTTAATCTTTGAACTCCCAGTCATCTTTTCGGCCGATCGAGCTTTAAATAAACGGAGCGGCGAGCACCGATGCAGACATTCGATCGGCCATCTAACCAATTTGCCTCGAACGGAGAGGGCACCGCTGAAAAATACCGCGGGACAAGGGAACGCTCGTCGCCAGAGGGGGGGAGGAGGTGTGGGAGGGGCGAAGACGAGTCAAAGACCAGCACCGTCCGAGCTGGATTCGAATTAACCAGTCGCAAAGTGGGCGGCCGGTATATTTAACGGCAGACTGCGCCAGAATGCTTCCTCATTGAAATCCGACCTCCCGACGACCTCGGTTCCCCAGATTTTTCAGTTGCACGCACTCTCGCTCGTTCGCGCGCCCGCGCGCACGCCCGATGCGCCATTTCGCGTGTTCCCCGACCGGGGGAAGCCCCGATTGGGGATCCAGATACAATAAACCAATAAGTGTCGGATCGAACCGAAATGTAAAGCCGTCGAACAGCAGCACTCATTATCGCCTAAGAAGCGTTTAAATGACGATGAACGTTAAAAACTAGTACATTTATAGCAAGAGCCATGACTCAATTGTCAACCACAAGAGAAAACGCGGTACTGTAGCAAACTAGGCAAACGTTCGATACTTCGCGAACCACCCCTTCTCAAATTCAATCACATTCTGCCAAGTGTCCAAAACACCGACTGCTATCCAAGCTCCCAGAAGCCCACCTGGCAGAAAAGGAGCTGCTAGCCTTTCTCGACCCGTCAATCCGACAGTCTCTCCGTCTCTAATCGCCGCAGTTCCTCCAACCGCGCAACGTAACACCCAGCGACCGCCTTAATCGGCAAAGAGGAGGATGCAGCTCGCGTTTCCCGGAAGACGGTTTCCCGCCTCGAGACTTTTCTGTCCCCTATCACTGTCCAGAAGAGGCCAGCGATTCCGTGCGACTCAATAAGGAGCCAAGATAGCAGTGAAATCACGTCCGGACCGTTGGATGAATCAACCGATGGCTAGGCAACGAATCCGAGTCCCATTGGTTACTTCTCGTCTTTTCTCTTCTGAGTTTCGATACTAATTTGCTACTCGCCGGCATAGTCCTAAGTAACCAATCAAAGCTATAAACGGACCACTCAGGCGAAGGACCCCCTTCGCCTCTGTGTCGTCCAGCTAGACGTCAAGTCGTTTGCCAAGAGTACACCGCGAGGAACATTTCTGCCGGGGAACGGGATTGCGAAACGGACGCGTGCGTTCCGCACACGAAGATCAAAAGGGGGGGACGTGTAAAGGTGATCTCACGGCGAAAGGATAATTCGGGGGCTCGCCGTGTGTCTCCTCTCTCGCCTTGTGTTTCTGCGGAGCGTGACCGGCCGCCGAGGGAAGAGACCTCGAGGGCGTGGAGGAGAGACCCCGCGGAGAAAGCGAATCCCCAGATAGGTTCTGTTGCAGAGGTGTAGGAGGGTTGGTTGGTCAGTGTATGACGCTTGGGGAGCGCGCGGTCGCGATACCATGACGTATCGACCGAGCACGCCACGCGGACTGACGTCACGATCACGGCCTCAGTCAGACCGCGAGCACGTGAACAGCACGCCGGTGATCACGCGGTCGTCGGCTGACTGGGGCTCCGGCATTGGCCGGCCGTGGCGAGCCCCTCGGCGCGATTGGCCGGCGCGGTGCGCGCCGCATGATCACGCACACAACTGGCACAGCGTGTCGAGCCAGCCGACCTGAGAAAGCTTCATTGCGTTACCAGACGTTCAACGGGTTACCTCCCTTGCGGGTTTTTTCACGAAACTAGTAATACGGTACGCGCTAAGAGAACCGTCCGTCTGGTTCACACGGTCACCTGGGCCGTGCCTTCTCAGCTACACGGGACACGCCACGTTTCAGTTCGAACGGGAACCGATATAAACAATATAAGAAAATAAAGAAATACATATATAAGAAATATATAAGAATGGACACGAATCAAACACCACTGTCACCGCCTGCCTCGCCCCAATTCAAGCATGTAAGTGTACGCCGAATTAAAAGTGCCGCCAGCCGTTGACGCGGCTCGCTGCCCGCGAAATACGAACGCAGTCGAACACCACGTACTAGCTACGCGTATCGATCCCGGTCGTCCTGGATCTTTGAGATTTCTCCGATATCCTTGTTGCAATTTCTTGCCTTCGCTCGTTTTCACTTCGTTCTTTCTTCGTGTGTTGTCGGTAGATTTGTCGGGTATATGTTTCTGTGAAGTTTTCGTTTGATAGGAATTCTTCTGCTGTTCGCTCGGTCATTTATTTCTGTGCGATCGTCGGGAGATTACTTTACGGAGAATGTTCTATGTGTTACAGGTGGAGCCGTTGCAGTCCTCGTTCAGCGTCGCGGCGCTCCTGGGGGACAAGCTGTCGCAGAAAACGAATAACGCCGGAATAAACATGAAAAAGGACGACGACGCAACCTCGCGGCCTGGTTTGCCTCCCACGCCCCAGCCGTCGGATTCGGAGGAGGACGAGCCTCTACGGAAACGGCGGTGCACGGAGCAATGCGAATTGGTGAAGGTAAATACCGTCTTATCGTGAAACCGCTTTCTGCGCATCTTAAATACCGCGGAGACCGTCCCTTTTTTGATTTTTTTCTCCGCGCGCAATCGGCTGCCCGCTCCGATGCACGTACACGCATGCGCGTACGGCCGCGAAGTTGTTTTGCAAGATGACCCCGTTCGCAGCGTGCATTCACTCTTACACCATTTTTGTCGTTTATCCTTCGAGCGAACGTTCTATACCTTCGGATGGTATCAATCGTGAAATGCACGATGGGTTCACGTGCCCGTGAACAGATGGCACTTTAATTACCGATTACGCGGATTTCGGTTGGTCCCCGATAACGACGGGCAATCGTTAAAGTCGTAACACGGTCGATTCTCTCCTTTTGAAAATATTGAAAAATCGAAATACAATCGAACGGATCGCGAGAAACATGTTTCGCATATGTATCTTCATAGTTAAATAGAGAATGAAGTTGAAAAATTTCTCTTTTGTCAGCTATTGCTCGATGGTACACCACCGCCGAGTCCAGAACCTGCTCGAGTGTCGGTCATAATGCGTGCGAATCGGGATGGTACCTACAGTCCTGCCAACTTAACGCCAAAGACAACCGTGACGTCCTCGCAACTGGTCCCACGTGAAATACAGGCTTCCATCCCGCAGTCGGATCTAGCCGCGCGCCAGAGTACCGCGGAGCCGGAGAATGTTCTGAAGAGTCTGAAGTTTAAAATGAGCCTGCGGAAAGAGGAGATCATCGTGAACAATAAGAACACGGACCGAGAAACCGTTCAGCCGAAATTACACCTCTTGGCACCGAAACCAGCACCGATCATGGTAACCGGGCTCCTGGGATCCCCCTTAGTCCTCCCGCGGGCACCGCTTCTATTGGTCACCGCATCAACGACCACGGCAACGGCAAACATCTCGACCCCGGAATCAGTCGCGCGACGTCGCGTCTACGAATGTGAGCATCCGGGCTGCGGGAAGAATTATTTCAAATCGTCCCATCTGAAAGCCCACACGAGAACGCACACCGGCGAACGGCCGTTCTCGTGTCCCTACGAAGACTGCAACAGACGGTTCTCAAGAAGCGACGAACTGTCGCGGCACAAGCGGACCCATACGGGCGAGAAGAAATTCGCCTGCACCGTATGCCAGAGAAGATTCATGAGGAGCGATCATCTGGCGAAACACGTGAAACGTCATGCCAGAGACAGGTCGTCGACGGGAGCGAACGGCGTTCAAACGTCCGTCGCGCAGATGACGTCCGGACCGTTGCGGGTCAGCCTGCTGCCTGTCCTCGCGCCGCGAATCACGCAGCCAGCCCAGCACATCATACCGCCGCAACTGGCAGCTTAAAAAATACGGATCCGGCGACGTGAAGTCGCCGAGGATGGTTGGACCTAACCAAAAGCTGTGGACGAAGCTTTAGCTACCGCACGATTGAGAACCATTCCAAAATCTCTGGATAGATAGAACCGGAGGATAAATTCGGAGGAACGACGGTAGATGTCCTCTCGAGAATTTCGGGATGCCGTTCGAGGAGTTCCCACGAGTTCTCGATCTTGTATGCACATGTCGGGACAAAGTTTGTTGGGAGGAGCAGTACGTTCGAAGTTCGAACTTTGAACTGCCGCGGATTCGCATGGAGAGTGAACCTCCGCTCGCCTCTTTAACGTGTGTAATCGTGAACCGAATGGAAAATGTTAATACGAGGCGTACTTATGACAAGGAGACCTAAAGGCACGAGGAGCGGTGATGATAAGTCATGAGAACGAGGCTTCTTTGCCGTCCGTGAACCAAGTACCTAAGTGTGTCTGTGATCTGTGATGCATAAGCGCGTTGACCGAGAAAAAGAGTATTTATTTAAGACAGTCTTTATGAATGATGTATATAACGGCTATGCGAAAGAAACACGCTGAAATTATGCTGTATTCATTAATGCCGACTTGTTTGTCATGTAATTATGAGTCACATATGTATATGTAAGTATAATGTACATACATACATAGTGTCACATGTCCTGATAGGGGAATCCTTTCCGGACGACAGGAGACTTGTTACTGTAAAGGATAAGATTAATGACTTTTTCTACAACAACAGAGATTAATTAAATAACTTCTATACTTTCGTAAAATTGTTTTGGGTATTTAAATTTCCTTCACCATTCTTGCAATGTCCTTTCTGCGTCCCTACATGTTCGACCGTTGATTCACGTTGTTCTAGCGGACTGTTCTAACAGTGATAACCACTACCATCCATCTTCTTTTTTTAGTATTCCTTTTAATTAGGGTCATTAAATTTATTTACTTTAACATTATCAATTAGAGAATAAAAACACCTCTGCACCGAGCGTTGTTTTCTCTGTTCCAGTTGCATAACCGTACCCAAAGGCGAGACTGTAACAGACATCGTAAGATCTCGAGAATTTTTTCGCGCGCGTTGAAGAGTTTCAGAGCAATACGGAAGGTCATGTCTCGAGATGACCGAAGACAAGAAAAGAAAAACGACTTCTATTTACGAAGAACTCGGCACCACACGTCGATTGAACGATAGTGAACCATTCGTGCGTGACGTACCGTCTGCGGCGGTTTAGATAAACATGGTAAAAGACACTTAAAGAGTAAACACGTGTAGACGTTGTACGGTATCGCGTTTCAGATATTTCACATTTTCAAATCCTCAATGGTACAGGCGTTAACCAATGAAAAACAAATAATTCGCAGTTGAATAGATCCACGCAGAAGCAACAATGCAACAAGCGTATTGCACTTCTATGCTCACGAAGAACCGCATCGTACCGATCGTGTAAGTTACGATAGAATTCAATTGAAACGATATTCACGTTGGTACACAAATCTTGTATAACCCCAACAGTTTAGCCAATCACGCATTTCAAGAATACATGTACAATGTTAATCAGGGTTTAATCACTGAATTGTCGGCGTAGAATCGAATTCTTGGAATCAAAGATCCGAGTGGAGCAAGGTAGGCAAATGTTCTATCGGAGCAAAAAGTTTCCATCACGCATCGTATGCGAAGAGCTGCGCCGAGTCGAGTGCGTGGATGTAATCTCCGTTCTTTTGATTAAGATCCACAAAGATATTTTTTACTGAAGATGGACGAATTTTTTCGTTGAAATGATTTTTCTTATCTCCGTAATATATCCACGATAAACAATTTTAAATCATGTACCGCAAAGTTGTATGTACGAATACCATCTTACGTAACGTTGACACATCGATATTGTTTCGCGTGAAAGCGTTTTAGGTACGAAAATTGTCGAATTATTTGTCGCGAAGTATTTCATTTTCAAGGTAGCGTTTCGTCCTCCGCGTTTATCGTTACTATAAATACGATTGGTCGCTTCGGATTAAGAGAGAATACGTTAATCGCGTTGGACGTGTTATCGTTGGGAGATTCGTTGACCTAAACAGGTAAAAGGGGCGTTGGCTGGGTTGACAGGGGTGTAAATAAAATATTCCATTGCAGATTATCGCACGGCTCACACTTGTACGAAATGGATAATACTCCATATGAAACGTAACTCGCGAGGCCGCAGATTAAGATAAGATTTTTTTTATCGATCGTTTGCATTTGCTCGAGAAACGAATGGCCAAAAATATGCGGTTCTCTCGCGGCCACGAGTGTTTTGACGCATATTCCCGTACTCCACAATCTCTTTAAACAAAAGTTCGCGATAAGTACATACCGAGTTTAATTTCTTGCAGTATCGTAAAAGCAGTTTCGAGTGAGATTCTTCTTTTCTTGCTGAAAGCAGAAAATAAAAATAGAAACTAAAATATCGGAATTTTTATTTTGTAATTCTCACCCCTTTATACGCATTCCAAATTCGTATTTGGGATGGTGGATCTGTAGTTAAACGAGCGTTGCGAAAAAACTTGATTGACTAATTAAGAAAATATTTAATCGTGTATTCGCAGGATCAGGGATTTCAAGTTTTTGTGTATCTAAGTTATTTGTAATATTCGTAATACCGTTGTACAGGTCAACTTAAAATTACAATCCTTGGTAATGGTCTCTCACGAAATGCTGTGATTTCTTGCATCAGCCAAGGACTCGAACTCTTTTAATGTTGTAAATGTCACAAACAGGTGTGGGACCGGTAGATGACGCAAAATATCCTCCGGATTACCCTCATTTGCGGTTATTAAAATTAGTCATTATTATTGAAAACGTAACAGGCATTACAATATTGATCGATATAGGCTATCAGAGTGACATTGTATATTCAAAAAAAGGTTATATACGTGAAACAGGAAATAGTCAAAATAAATTTACAAACGGTATTTAATTTATAACACCATTCATCATTAACATATGTCATTTATTTTTTGGAACAGTTTTTTTTTCGTAATTACATTATTAATACTTTCCTTTGATTATGAAGGTCACTCCCACTCAGTTTCCAATTAATAAATTTTTGCTCAAAGTATAGTGAAAGTATATAGGTACATTTAAATGCTATTAAATGTGCGTTACCAAATTCATTTTTATACGCATTAATATTAATGTTTAAATGTTTTTTTAAATATTTTATAAATATTAGGGATTTGTATATTTTGGTGGAACTTTTCCTCTGAAATTCGGTTTAAGCCAGGAAAAAAAGAAAACTTACCTTACACGTGACTGTTGCTGGACAAGGAAACATTTTTTCCCTCATACATAAGCATATACCTGAAAGTGCAATATCTCCTGGACATTGCATCAAGTACAAGAATTCCACACCTATGTCTTTCATAATTCAACGCGAATAAAAAATGGTAATTAAGTGATAAATTTATTCATCTATATTTATCTGGCATTCATTACTAATTATTTCCGAATACCTTGATGATGCATATTAGATACGTGTTCACAGACCTTGATTGCCATAGCTTCTACAGAGGAAGATGATTACCACATTTTCTTGTATAATATAAAATTTAACACCGTTTTTATAAAATTACGATTTATTTCTTGATGAACAATAGAATGTATACATATAACTCGTTTAATAACAATGTACATATATACATCTATTACGCGTTTCTCCACATTATTTTGAAAAAATAATATTTAATACTATAACATGTACGCCGTGGAAAATATTAAAAATATCTTCAGATATAAATTGTATAAAAATGCTTTAATAAATATATAGTTCACTTGCATTGATTCTTGTAGAGAGTTCAAATCATGTTTGAACAATCTGAGCAGATATATCTATATGTATATATATAAAAAAAATATAGCACTTTCAAAAAGTAGCTTTACATACAGATTACTGTTATGAACATACAAAATCTTAAAAATGTAGTTTCAATTTTACTGCTTCGTGGTTATAGGTATCAAATTCAACATTTAACTCAGTTTTTGTGGAATTTTTTGCTGGAATCAGCTGCCATATCATACAAACTTTGGCATGGTTTAAAAGTATCGCCGTAATGACTCTGGAATTCTTCCATCTTTCTCACTAAATTTCCGGCCCCATAATAATCTACCCAGCGGAAAGGTCCGCCAGTAAATGGAGGAAAACCTAATCCAAAAACAGCTCCTACATCACCCTCCAACTGTAAAAACATTTATTTTGTTGGTTATACATAAAAAAAATATTATAAGTGAAATTCGTCAGCTTGATATATTCGTAATGTTACTTACTGGATTAGCCAATATACTTTCTTCTAAACAAAGTACTGCTTCATTAACAAATCGAGTTACCATACGTAACTGACGATCTTCGTCAGATGTACTTCCTTTTGGTTCAAGTCTGTATTTCTTCAAAATATCTAATGCTCCAGGATTAAGATCTCTTTCCTTAACATTAGCTTCATATATGTATATACCTTTTCCAGACTTTCGGCCTAAAAATTATTGTATTTCTTTAAATGCGTTAGACAGTAACAATTATTATAACAGGGTTCAGTTCATTCACTTGATTTGTGTCATACTCATATAAAAGCATAGAAGATGTTTAACTGAACTTTTACAATTTTTTACTGGCGATTTGGAAGAACATATTGAGGATTTCTTCGTACATTTGTCCAAATACAACACAAATCACATGAACCAAGAATACATAAACTGAATAAATGAAAGTACCAAGGAAACCAGATTTGACCATATCACCCATTATGTTTACATCTCCACCTTTAAAGCGGTCACCTAACACCGTCACTAGATAATCACTTATATGAGCTCCAACGTCAACACCGACTTCATCTGATAGTGTTGCCGGCCCGACAGGAAATCCGAACTTTTTAGTCAATTTATCTAAGACCATTGGATCCACGCCTTCCTATTTTCATAATACATATTACATTTTATATTGTGCTTAATCTCACAATAAGTGATAGTATTACCTGCATCAATCTGATAGATTCAGATAACATAGCTGATAGAATCCTTGTGGTATAAAATCCAGGACCATCTCCAACAATAATAACTGTTTTACCTTGTTTCAAACCTACATCAACCGCAGTCTTAATAGTATCAGTCGATGTTCCTTTATGCGTTATTATTTCTAGTAGTTGCATTTTGTCTACCGGGGAGAAGTAGTGCATTCCAATCACCTGTAAATTAATACTCTACTAGATGAGATATTTACACATAACAACGCATATACTTGCCTTATCTGGACGTTTACTTCCAGCCGCTATTTCGGTAATGGGAAGAGCTGATGTGTTTGTTGCCACTACACAGTACTCTGGTGTACATGCTTCGATTTCTTTTATAACTTTGTGTTTAATTGCCATATCCTCAAATACAGCTTCAATTACTATATCCGCGTTCTTAAAAGATTTATAGTCTAAAGTAGTATCCAAATTAGCAAGATACTTATCTTTTTGAACACTAAATCATAAAAAAAATTATTTACAATGAAATTATGTTCAACAGAACGACATATAAATCTTATTTAAAGAAAAACTTGTTTGTGACTAACATTGAATATCTTTTCCTTTTTACACCATTATCTAAGCCCTTTTGTATTTGACCTAAGCCTCTATATAGACCTTTTTCGTTTGTATCTTTCAAAACTACATCATAGCCTTTATCTATGCTCACTTGGACAATACCTGCACCCATTAGACCAGCTCCAACAACTGCGAGTTTCCTAAAAATGCGTTGCAAATTAATATTTTTGTATACATAATTAATCATATTTATCATGATGTGTAGTATATCCACTTACTTCACAGCATTTTTAGGTGTACCAAAACGATTTTTTTTACACGCCGTCTGTCCAAAGAATACACTTACAAGACCCCTAGATTGAGGTGTAACTGCTAACTCACCGAAGGCTTTGGCTTCTGCATTATAACCAGCAGCTGGACCCTTATCCAAACCAGTACGTACTACTTCAAGAATCTTAAGTGGTGCAGGGTACAAGCCACCAGACATTTTCATCACTTGAGCTTTTGCTTTTTTAAATACTTGATCCTTAACGAAATTTAAAGAAAAAGCAAAATCCATGAGCTGATCAATCAGAGTTTTAGGTTTGCGATTGATTTTCAATTCTCCACTAGCAATATCTTTTGCAACCTTGATAGCTGTTTCTTCTAAGTATCTCATGGTACTGTAAATATTGTAAATATATACATTCATGTATAGCTTACATGTTTAGTAAATATAAATATTAAATTCATTGTCATACGTCTTACTTTTCTTCAGCTGGAGCAATTCCAGGTCCAAGACGATTTACTAACATATCTACAACTCCCATTTTTTTAGCCTTGTCTGCCTTGATATTTTTTCCAGTAAGTGCCATATCTAATGCATTGGGAATTGCAGTCAACTTAGGTAATCTTTGTGTGCCTCCTGCACCAGGTAACAGACCTAACATAACTTCTGGTAATGCTAAATTCGTTTTTGCATCATTAACAGCTAATCGATAATGACAGGCCAATGCAACCTATAATGATTAAATCAATTTTTAAACAGTTTGTAAGGAAAAAATATGTAAAAAAAGGTGAATATGCATGTGTAAAAATGTTTTAATTGAATTACCTCAAGACCTCCTCCTAAACAACTGCCCTGAATTGCAGCTACAATTGGTTTTTTACTCTTTTCTATATCATTTAAAATTTCTTGTCCCCCTACAGCTACTTTATAACCATCTTCGGCAGTCTTAAAATCCCGAATCATAGAAATATCTGCACCAGCAATAAAGCATCCTGGCTTTCCACTTATAAGGACCGCAGAATTTACAGAAGGATCATTTTCCACATTTCTCAAAATTGGTGTAATTTCTCCCATCACTTCAGCATTCAAGGTATTAACCTATATTCAAATGTCTTGTGAATCAACTCAGATATACCATAATTAGACATGTTTGATTTTCTATAGTCAATTGTTGTTATCTGTTGACACGATATAAATAGTTTACCTTGCTTCCTGGGGAGTCTATAGTAATCACAGCTACATTATCTACGACTCTGTACTTGAAATGTTTCGCATTTATACTTGCAAATGACCTTATAGTTTGGTGATATACTGAAAATAAAGTGTACAAAATGATGTGGCATTTTAACGTGGAAAGAATAAATTAAAGGTCCTGTTAGTTAGTAGATAAGTGATGCTAATTATGTAGTAGATATGCAATATTTGTATCCCGATCAAGTATATACTATAAAGACAAATGCATGTTAAAAATAATATAGAATTATACACTTTATTAAAACTTGCAGCTATTAAATGTAAATGATCTCGCTTAACGTGTACTTTCATTGTTATATCATACATAACTTGCAACAAAGTTATCTATTAAGTATCCGAGAACAAGGTTCAAATTGTGAACTTGTTAATATAACATATTTTTGAAAGTTTATAGTTACCTGTTCGCGTCACATAGCTCTTATTTATGAAGGAAAACTGTGCAACAGCACCCAACAATCTGTATTGCGACATTTTAATGCATTAGCCGCAAACCCGAACAAACAGTATTAAATTCTTCGCATGGAACCACACCATACGAACTGGAATCACGAACGAATGCGCATGTGCCAATGCGTGGATGTTGACCGATTGACAAAAATCTCAGTTTTCAAAGGACTTTGACCTTAAATGAATACATTTGGTTTATTCGACAATAATTTGGTTATTTTGTATTATCAGTATTCGATGATAAGTGATACCAGCTTGTGGAAAGTTTTCTTTAATATATAAAAGTATTCGGATCATCAATGCAAAATAATGATTTTATAATCAAGTCAAAGAATTGAATAGAATACATACACAGCATTTAAAATTATCACTCATTAGAACATACGAGTTATTATCTAAAATCTGATATCAATTGTTTAATTGTTTAAAAATGGAACAATCATTCGTGCATTCTTTTATATTAAAAATAAGAAACATAAACACTCTACATTTGTTGTGTAATCTTCTTTAAACAATCTATATTTATTTTTCATATTTATCAACGAATGGATGAAATAATCTTCATACTGACTGATACGAATTCAAGATTATCATTTCCAATGTTATGTTACCGATAATTAATGAATGTAGCGTTATTAGTAGGAATTGAATGAATTATATACTTCATTTATACTACAGTTAGTTAATTTGACTTTACGGCAGAGATGAAAATAGCGCTATTAAGTGGCATATTTATTGTACCATATATTAAATAGGATATCTGTAGAAATGTTAAGTTTATATTTTTGAAATGCTGAATTGATCTTGTACAATCACGACTCTGTATAAGAATATAGGAAAGGTTTATAAGTTTATCAGCTATTTCTTGTGTGGTGATTTAATCTTTTTGTTGGTACTCCCACTAAAATTTTATCGATCCCATTGCGGTCTGACAATAATACAACTTCACATCGTACACTTCATTGTTTTTCCTTCACACCTTTTATCTGTTTATCAGTTTCCTCGTCTTCCAAATTTTTTAATTTCTTCTATCTACCTAGGTTTAAGGTACGTAAAAATTGACAAATCTTCGTTGTGTTTGTATGAACATTGAATTGTAAATAATATTGCAAAAATTTTGATTTTACCTTGTAATGACATTACGTCGTTCAAGTATGTCATAAAAAGTGTAAAACAAGTAAATCCTCAAGAGACCATTGTCAAATTACTTTAATTACAAGAAATTGATAAAATTTCAAGAAAATATTGCATGTCAACGTTTAATACTTTCTTATTTGAAAGTTGCATATTTTTACGTAACTTAACCTTACATACCTTGTGTAGAATCATTAATAAAAATATACAGTTATAAATTCTATTTCTTACCTATAATTTTAAGATACTTGTGAAGTACTGTTTCCAGGTTTATAATTTAATTTTGTCTCCTAAAAATGTCGACTCCATGGGCAAAAATCCAACCGGTGGAAGGTCCAGTTAGTTTGTTAGAAATAACTTCGGAGCAGCTTGCAAACAGTTTGCAAGAAAAGTAAGCAACAGCTAATCATGATACCTGTGTTTATTGCCCGCAAGTAAAAGACAAATTGTTGTATTTTCACGAACAGAGAAATAAAGAAGTATCAGATAGAATCATTCGAAGACGTAAATATAGAGGAGCATGGGTTATTCGAGGCCACTGATACAGACAGTGATGAAGTAATTGCACACATGCTCCAAGATCAATTTAACAAAGAACATGACCGTATGATCAAACGCACAGAAGAGAAATTTAATCGAAATGCTAAAGGTAACATATCTTTTTGTATGGTATATATTAAAAAATTAAAGACCTCTTTTTAATTTTGCAGTTAATATTTCCTATACAAACTATCGAACATCTGTGTCAAATGATCGGGATGACAAAGGTAATACGGATATAGAGGATGCAACAAGGGACTTTGATCGATTCGTGGTAATTAGTAACTATAATTGCACCAATAGACAGAATAGTTGTCTATTTTTAGCATTGCACTATCGAGCTATTCCATTCTATATGTTAGTGTACACTGAGCTTATTTTATGCTATGAACTAAATATTTGGATTATATTTAATATTTTTTAGAGTATAGAAAAGGAGTATGCTTCGATTCCACGCTGTGGATACAAAAAGATGGGTGAAGGTTCGCAAATTGTAACGAAACACGACATGTTGATGTCTTCAAGAATAAACGCCTGCAGAGTTTTGCAATTCCCTCCTGGCATTCACACAGGCGACACAGGAGGATTTGATGTCAAATTAAACAACAAAGTGTTCAACAGTTTAAGAGCCCATAGTCATGCTCAGTGTTCTAAACAAAAAGCGAAAGCACGACCACATACAAAGTAGAACAATAACACGTTTCCTACATGTAAATATGTTATGGTAATATACTTCTATCCTAAGTATTATTATACACAGATTTCTATGCCATTATTTCTTGATTATAATTGAATCTGAATTACAACTGTTCAGTATTTCCTCCATATATGCAAAAACAAATTATCCACTTTCAAAAACGGAACCATGTCTAACTACAGAAAGGAAATTATTTTTGACTTCGAACATTTTATAAAGTGCTACAAAGATAACAGCGTCGTTTAATTGTAATAAAGAGCTTAAAAAATAAACTATTCTTTTTCTCTCGGTGCGCTCTTGTCTCCTTGTCACACCTGTGCAAGCGTACGCTCAAGGACGCATTTAAATACAGACTTCGGATCCATACAAACACTGAGGGTTGAAATGGAGCACAGCCAAGGTATTACACACGTCGTATTTCAGGCACGATATTAGAAGCACTTAGTTGCGATATTACACCACCGACGAAAACTCTCGCCGGTGAGATTATAAACGATAAGGTTTGATGGGATGGTGAACTGAAAATAAGACGATTAATAATAATACGAGTGGTTTATTCACAACCGTTACCATAAGATGAATCAGTGATAACTTTACATTTATTAAACGCTACGATCTATCACAATAAACTCTGTTTTCCCTCGATCACGCGAGGCTTGGTATAGAAATATATCTGAAACAACACGCGCTAACCTTCTACTAAAACATAAATCGTATTTTCGAGGTCCGGCGGGATTTGCCTGCCACGATAATATGCACATCTATGAGATACATCCCGTAATTATTGTACAGTAATTGTACATGTACATATATACAAGCTAGAAGTCGGTAGTGGGAAAGACGAATCGAATCTCCGCTCTGTGTACAGTTTTGCTGGATATGTTGTAAAGGCGTAAAGCTACAAACTACATATGTATTTGGTCCGATCCTTTCGTTAGCCCGATGCCGTTTCGAAAATAGTCTGTATCTCAAGCCGACCGTACGTGCGCAAGCGAATTACAATTAATTTCCTTTATCCTATTAGAACCATGTATACTGTTCAGGTTCGAAGACCGTAAGAAATGTTCAAGCTTGATCACAAATTAAGAGGTGTGACGTCTACATGTAGTCGTACAAATAGAAATTCATAGTACATATATACAGGATATCCTCTCCGCTTTGCCGCGTATAAATATTTCTTTCGCTTACAGTTTCCTCGAGGGAGAGAACAGTCATTCTCGTTTTTTCCTTTTTCCATCGTAAAATAGAAGCTACTAATACGTCGCATCCTTACAGCAATAATTCAATGTCACGCGTTTCGAACTCGTAAAAGGGCATCGAAGGTCACATGTAAATCAAACAAATAAAAAAACAAAACAAAAAATAAAACAAAAGAAGAGAGACGTTTCAGATAAGATTCCATAAAAACGTTACAAGCAAAGGAAACTCGGTTTAGGTGATAAAGTTTGATGGCTACCCTCGGCGTAGTATGGAAGTATTCTCCGTCGATTCATTAGGAATTCGTTCTTATTAAATAACCCTTTCTCCCTCTCTTCTCTAGTTTACGGCTAGCTAAAAATTAATGGTTTTATTTGTACTTAATGTCCTAAGAATTTATGGTTAACCGTCGCGCATCGATAGAGTACGGCTTTATTGCACCAACCGATTTCACTGTAGTCCGCCACGAGATATGACGTTTCCGAGAACGCTCGCTGCTGCGAATGGTAACCGCGGTAGAAAAATATATGTATGGAACGGTGCTAGTGACGAAATCGAAATTCAGGCGTACGTAATATTTCCGTGTTTCTCGTGCGTCGACCAACGTGTCCTCGCGGCACGGTGATACAGGAATGCGTGTGCGTCCCGCAATTTCGATGCGTTGTCGACGCTTTTTCGTCCGCGGCCGCGCTTACGTCGAGTCGAGCAGCGGGAACGGACAGAACGTTTCGTTCGCACCGACGAGAGAGGAGGAGAACTACGAAAACGAACGGAAAATAACCAACGTTCTCGAAATCCAGTTTCGCCCGTTACATTCGATTAAAAAGGAAAACAAGAAACTAAATCGCCCGACGCGCGTCGAGTAAGTACTATTGCTCCAACAATGAAATTTGTTCGTGCGCTTCACCGTCGGAAATACTGAACGTTTCCATCCTCTTCCCCGGTTGGATTATCTTTTTTTGTCATAGCTTCGTGTGCTTCACGCTGTCCGTCCAGTAATTCTGTATTGTCATCGCCTCCAACGAGTTTAGGAACGAGTCGTTGTCCAGGCTGTACATCTCCTCGGAGTTATCCTGCGAGAACGGGGAACAGTCAACGACAGGAGCCAAGACTTCGAATAATACTATACTGTCGCAAGGAATCGCAAGTTCTAAATACTCACACGAATAGTGGAATCGTCGATATAACCGGAACTATCGGGGTTGCTGCACTTATCGCTATTCAAGGTCTGCGGTGGATTCAGGTACCTACGCCTGCAAACGAGAACGCGTTACGATCCCTTCGAATGGAGAGCCAGCTTGAGCCTGCACCGGGATAATTACCTGTACATAATGAATCCGAGACTGCCCATTGTGCTGAGCAAGACAACGGTCGCGAGACAGCTTCCGGTAATGGCGGCGATGTCTACGTTGGACCTCGAGGTGCTCTCTTGCTTCGAGTTCTCGTCGTCGTTGTAATCGGGTGCATGGTCCCCTTGGACCTGATCCCTTTGAAAATCTTTGGGAAACGCGCTCCTGGCTCGGCTTAGACGCGTGGACTCGCTCACGCCAACTGGAACACCGAATTAGGTTCGATTTATCGCTTAACAAATGACCAGGGAGATCTCAGTTTTAAATATTCCGTAGCTCGACGTCTAAACTAATCTTCGGAACCTGAACGTTTCCCTTTAATCCTTCCATTAGCTACCGCTTAACTGTACCCGCGAACTAGTCATCGCGAGAAAACTCCGCGTCTCGAATCGGTGAAACGGGAATCGCAATAGAACGGAATCGGCCAGTAAATCACCTTCGAGGATCGATGCAGCCGTAGCAAAGAGCTGCGGCTCGACGAGCTCCTCGTCGATCTCGACGTCGTCGTCGGACCGGTTGAACGTCCTTATGCCGGAAGCACCGGCGGATGAAGCTAGGGACGCAGAAGAGGAGGCAGACAGCAACGCCGAGGATTTGGTCTTGTTCAGTACCAGCCTGATCCTAGACACCTCTTCCTGAAGAGGCAACACCGTTAGGTCCTCGACGATCTCCACGCTGCCGTTCCGGTTCCCGTTCTCCTCGATCCTCTCCTCTTGCTCGTACTTCGACCTAGCTGTCTTGTTCGACGTCAGGATCCAGGTGATCTTGCTGTCCTTCTTCGACACAGGATTTCGAGTCCTGTCCGGGCTAGGTGTCTTCGGGCCGGCTGTCTCCGGGCTGGTCGCGTTCCCGAAGTTCCTTCGGAAATCATCGGCGACGGGATCCGCGCTGGTCGCCGCCACGTTCCCGCGGCTTTCCGCTAGGCTGGAGATCGTCGTCGACGGCAGCTTGTCCAACAGCATGGCCGCGTTCGTCGCCGGATTGAAACCGATCGCCTTCGCCACGCGGAAGCTCGGCCGCGGCTCCACCGTTTCCGTGTCCACGGTAGGCACTTCTGGCGTCGGATCTGGACTAGGACGACTCTCGACGCGCGGCTCCGTCGTGCTCGACGGCACTGGGTTCCCTAGAATCACTGAGCATCGAGTGCTGCAGTTAGAAATCGGGCTAGAAAGGTACCGCCTTGAAAGATATTTAAAAGCTACCGTGATTCGGATCGCGAATGTGTTATCTGCTGGGGCAATTGAGGACTCTCGTGAAAATTTAAGTACGGTTGAGAGAGACTGAAACCGTGGTGGACATTGTACGTTTTACTTCGATCGCTATTATGAATCTTGCGTTTTATATAAAATATTCGATTATTGATTTCCAGTGCGCCTGTTTTTTTTTAGAACATTTTACTTTACGTCCACTCTGGGATCATCACGCAACTGGAATCAACTCCCACTCGATTGCTAAAATATCACGCTGCACGGGGGTTGCGATGTTTGTTAAATGCACCGTTCTCGAGGGTGGTCGCTCAGCTGAAAATAGACGTTTACCAGTTGATCCAGATGAAATCTCGAAAACATGCATCACGTTGTGACGTCGTGTGCGAAATCAATTATGCAAGGGCAATCCGTGCATTTTACAACGGAATAACCGCCTTGAAAAGAAGATTCTTAACGGTAGTTTTACAGAAGTCTACTAAAGTTCATTTAGATCTTAGAAATTAGATTTAGAAATCCAAACATTTACCAATGTTCCTAAAATTCTGAAAGATTCTTACCACTAGAACTACCAAGCATTGAATACGACTGATATACAACCCTACAAACATTCTAACAATAGACTACTTTCAGTTTCTTTAGACATTCGTCGCAGTATCCAAATGAGATTTATTTTCAAAATCATTTCGAATATTCAATGCTTTGAATCTATCAATAATTGCGAAAACCGGAACCAGTAATTTTGATTGCTACGTAATTCCAGCGTCAACACGTCCGCGGACAGTACAAATTTTAATAACCCGCAAAAACAGGAAAAATGCAAATATCGAGGGTCAGAGTGCACAATAATTTGAAAAAGTTCAGTGTACATAGAATTAAACTCATGGCAATGCAACTTATAAATTTCAATGTTATAGCATCCATGTAATTCTGCATCACAATGAAAATGAACGCTGCAGCATTCACGTCTGCGAACGTGTTGATCATTAAAATTCGCAAGAAGACTAACCGCGAGACGTGAATACGTAAGAAACGATACTCGCGAAACGCATTCGCAAAATCGAATCTCGAGAGGAGCCGTCAAGTTGTTTTCCAGCCGAGCGAGCCACCCCCTTTAAGGGGTTCGGGGGCTCGCGCATCGTTGTCCATCGCGCAGGAATCAAGGTCCCGGCTGCGGATCGAGAGAAACCGTGTCGAGGATCGCGGATTCCCGCCGCAGAGACCTTGATCCCGGAAAGAGGCGCCTCGTCTGCGATTTCACGCGTCCACGTTTCCCCCGAATTTCATCTGGACCGTGAACGCACGCCGGTGCCGCGCGTGAAAGGCGCGGAAACGCGGGAAGGCCGCCGTTGTCCTTGATTCCGAGGCGTTATTTAGAACGTACCGAGAAATTGAGCGGTAACCCAGAACCAGTGCATCCACCAGTGCAGCGTCATCGCGTCATCTGCGTGTACCTGGAACAGAAACGAGCGCGTTGCGCTGTTAGCCGCGTCGTTGAGTGATCGATTGCGCAACGGATGCACCCGAACGAACGATCGCGAACGAGGAACGCGCGATTCGGTGATTCACTGCGGGAATGCACGGGGTGTCAGATTATTTTCCTACTTCGCGAACGAAGATGATAATATCCCTTTCCCTGATTTCATACAGATGAAACTGTAAAATTTGATATTTAATGCTATACCTTGTACAACGCATCGATTTGAGAAATATTCAATTAAAATAGCTCTTTCCTCTGACGTACATGATTTCTCTTCCAGGTAGTCTACAAAATATCGTCTCTATCTCATCGGAAAGTGTTCAAATATTTCTACTGAAGAACTTCCCAGTGCAAAGGGATATAGTCCTGCGGTTCGATTTAACCCTTCGCGTTCGTTGGTCGGTAGAAATATTCATTTTCCGATGAGACGCAGACATCTGTTGAAGCTAACTTGTCGAGAGATCGCGAATGAGTTAAACGAAACTATTATATTTTGGTATTTTACGTATCGAAGTGTTACATGAAGCTCAATGTTAATCCTTAGAATATCACTGTATCAAGTCATCTGGGAAACTCTCATTCTCATTTTCTCAGTACCTTTCCGTCTGTTCAAATTTTTTCGAGTCTGCGTTCCTCCTTTGTTCTGGATGCTTCTAGATTTGAGAATATTATGAAGCAATTGTCACTAGCCCACGTGCTATTATTAGTGGTATTTCACACGTCTAGGTAAACTGAGAATCGCAGGCTCGAGAATCCACCGAACGAGTCCACCGGGCAGGCTGAGCGTATCGAAATTTTTAACTGTATCTCGCATCGGGCGCGATCTTTAACGGAAAAAAATCCAAAGAATGGTACGGTGTCACCGGTGGAGTGCGGAGTCATTGGCACAGTTTTAGACGATACGCGTTCGCGATATCCCGTTACGCGTACCTTTTTTCACGCGACTCTACTCCGAAACCAATAGCGAAACCGAGAAATGGAAATCACGGCGGGAGCGGCGCTCGTGAGTGCGCGCTGGCCCGCGGAAACTGGAGGAGAACGACTGCACCGCGATTAACATAGAAATCTCTAATCTATTCGCACTCTGTTACCAATTCGGATTTGGGACGCTATTAAGCTGGATGAAAATTCAGCAGACAACAAGATAAAAGCAACTTTTTCCAAGTTTCTCCTGTCGCATTTCTGTGGCTCGTGCGAATTCATAAACGCGTTCGCTGCGGCCGCGCATTACACATTTCGACGTGGCTTTAATCGATCAGACGTTAATCTCGATAATTGCATGCGAACAGGATTACTGAATTAGCCGTTGCGACCTGTTTGAAAAGTGTGTACCTGAAATGTGCCGTAAAAAGTTACAGCCGTTTTAGTAAACTCGTTATAACGCGAAACCTTGCCATTCCGTGACGAGTATACTCGTCATGACATAAACCTTGCCGTTCCTTCATAACTGCATTAACCAGTTCGCTGTTTTTACGAGTATACTCGTTTCAATGCAAAATCTCGCCGTTTCCTCGCGACGAGTATACTCGTCATAACACGAAACCTTGCCGTTCCTTCATAACTGCATTAACCAGTTCGCTGTTTTTACGAGTATACTCGTTTCGATGCAAAATCTCGCCGTTTCCTCACGACGAGTATACTCGTCGTAAACCTTGCCATTCCTTCGCAACGAGTATACTCGTCGAAAACAGCTACCTGGTTGACGCAGCTGTTACACGAACATCGGACGAGAGTTGAAAACATCGAGGAAAACAGCTCGTCACTCGAGGATTGATAAGAAAGTCAATAAAAACGTTTCACTAGTCACGCTCACGTGTAAGAAACAAACAAATGTCGCTGATGGTTGCGATCGAGATATCGCACGTTCCTGGTCGCCCGATCCGCAAAGATCACGACCCAGAATCCGACGATATCGGCGGCCTTCGAGGGCCGCGGTGTCGAGGTCGAATTTCAGCCGTTCAAGTGAAGTCCAGCCGAAGGTCAACCTCCCGAGCGGTTTAATATGGAAAGTGAATGAAACGAGTTGCCGAGATGCGCTTACGCAACGGTCCCCATCAACCGTCGCCGTCTCGCGCCTTTCAGGAAACACGTTTTCCTTCTCCTCTCGGTTCTCAGGCTTTACGGGGCACCTCGGTCTACCTTCCAGGTGCATTAGCGACCCCCGTCGCACGAATTTCTGAACGTTTCGCTTTGCAGACGCCTCTCTGCGCGAAAACGGTGCCTCCGGTAGTAAACAATTCAGGGCGAAGAATGCTGATCTTAACGATTCAACGCGAAAGTTCAGCGTGAATACACTTGTTGGAAGGTTTCTGTGGTTGAATGCTTGAGGAAAGTACAGAATTTGCAAGCATTTAGAACCTCTCATGATTCAGGCGAATTTCTAATCTGTGCGAATACGGGGTTCGTCGTGACTGGAATGAACAGAGGAATAGTAAAGAAGAAAACTTCGATTTGTTGAAAGTAAATATGTGACTTACTCTTCGAAAAGAATTTAATTCCGACAGATACCGATTCAGATCTATTCCAGACAATGAGGAGACATCCGCTGAAGGTGTTTGCCGACGTGAAACCTAATCGTTACGACAAACGTTTGGTTTGTTCGATCGAATACCTTATGAAGGAAGCAAACTCCACGGTCTGGAGTCAAAGCGAGGCGAGTCATCATCGAACACACGTACCAAGGAACAATCAACGGCCGCGAATGAGGCCAGAACGTTATTCAGAGCAGCTTTTTTGGTCTGAAAACGATGTGGAACGAGGAACACGAGCGGCCGGACACACTGTTGCAGGATGTTAACTCGCGAATTATCCCCGATGACGACGTCGGTGGAACTCACGCGTTCCACGTTCCCGTGTGATTATCTATAGTTCTATTATCCGTGTGATTCATCGAGCCGTTTTATGTAACCAGCTCGGGATCGATCAGAGAGAAAAAAAAAACGAGAATTAACAAAGGGAACCGATAAAGAGTTTTCCGAGCAGATACGGACGCGTTCTAGCAGCTGGCTGCCATTTGAACGGTAATTTATTCGTCCCGATTACACGATTCCGCGGCCCGAATGTGTAATCCGTCGCTCGATTCTTCTTATTAATATTCGTATCGCGATTAATGTTGCTTATTGTGCGCTAAATTGCACCGAGGATTCAGTGGAGCACATAATCAACGAAGGAAAGAGAACAAAGAAGACTGTCGTCAGACGCAACCTCTTTATCTCATTCCTATAAACGTGTATCGATTAACACAATTACGCGAAGTAGATTTAATAATCTTCCTTAAGCTCGCCGCGACGCGTTCCTTTTGTGACTTATCTGTTACCGTTTATTAATATCTATCGCGGAAGAAAACGAAGGAAAAGAGGAGAATTCCCATTTTTATGGATTACCTCGAACAGATCAGTCGAACAAATCAGCTCGAAGGTTCCTCGTGGTAAACAAGAGCGGTACAATAGAAATAAGCTAAAGCTGATCCTTTCTTGCGACGCTGAAACGAAGCTGGAAAGTCTAAATAATGTCGGAGCAATACTTAAATAATCAATGTGAATAGGATCCAAATAATATCCAAAGATTGCATCTTTAGTGACTAATGGAATTTTTTAAGACCATCTTTTCCCGGTTCGAAGCGCAACGCGAATTATGCGAGGAGCGTAAGGATCGAGCTCGATCAGTCTCGATTCCGATTGACGTCACGATTCACGCCGCGGAGGGACCGCGGCGAGGCATTTACCAAGCGGAAAGGGAGCGGCGCGCGGCTCTGTTCCGGCATCTTGCAGCCGAGGCCGGACCAACGGCGGCGGGAAAATTGCGAAACGGAGTCGCGACGCGTCGCGCAACGTCCAGGTGCAACTGGTCACAGTCAAGGGAGCATGACCGGTCTGCGAATAACTGTACCAGATTTTTTCGCGTCCCTGACTCCCGCTTCTTTTCTTTTCCTCCCGTGACTTTTCTCTCGCCGAAGACGCGACGCGCGCGCCGACTTTCGACGCGGACCTCCGAGCCGCCATTTTGTCGGCCGTCGACTCGACCGCTCGTCAGATACGAAGAAGTCCATTGTAACTTGTATTTCCGTGGTTTTTTACGAGAAAGAAAACGAAAGATATATGACACATTCTTCTTAGGGCTGAGAATTTGAGAAATTCGATTTTGGGGAAACGTTGCGCACGCGTGTTCTTGTATAATTATCTAATATTCGTCGCACGACTTTCTACTGTCTCTTGAGAAACGGTACAACGACTACAGATTTTTTTTTAATGTACACTGTCTAAGTTGTGTCTGATTGTGTAATAAGATTATTAGTGGAGAGTGTAAATCTTTGTGTAATTCCTGTTTTAGAGCTGCCGCTTGAATCGAATGTAATTAAGAATTTAAAGCGGAGCCGTCGCGGGACGAAGAAGTTGCCCGGAGAACGGTCCACCGCTCCTAAAATTCCTTCTGGCGATGAGTCACGCTGAAACCGCGGATTGAGCAACCGATTAGTCACTGAAATATCCGATTTTCTGGATGACGAACAGACCGCGCGCGTTCGGTCGGCTATGGCTACACTTTATACCTCCGAAGGTTGATAACGACGTAGATAACTATTGAAGACTATGAGCTTCGTTACCTTGTCACAATTTCGCATTTCAGTTTCAATGTTGCGCACAGTTCCGTCTGTTGCTTTCTGCACAGGTAGTTCGTATAAAATACGAACACGGAACAAACGGTAAAACACCATGGACAAGTATGAATTCTATTAATCGTTCATTGTTCCATTACCGACAACAGTCTACTGATTACATAATCAATTACAGTCCAACGAGTGTTCAATATTCACAAGTCCGCCAGCTGCAGACAATGCACTTTCCAATGGCAGATTACGCAAATAAAAAGCAACGCGATTTCCTACGTATTTACGCAAATTCGACTTTCTATTAATTTGCAAGAACCTCTATTCTATTCATAAATTCTTTGTTCCTTCTATAAAAGACGAAGTTTTATTTAAAACACATCCTGAGTTATCTTCAAACTGTAGCTACCTTTAACAAATGAATGAGGTGACAGAATACATCTGTATCGTTGACAGGGACTCTCGAGGACTTCTGCTAGAAGTCTCCTACAGATTTCAGCTTTTTATTAATGGCTCATAAAATCTTCGAACTATTTATAGGAACCCAGTCAAGTATAAGCCCATGGCATCATTCTTATTCTTGCCACTATGTGTACCAAGAAAAGTGTTTTCAGAGCCTCGATGACATAGCGAACGTGAGTCATTGGGGAAAAGATCGGACCTGGGACCTCGAGGTAGCCAGAATTTCCCGGGGCTCCAGCATTGTCGTTTGAAAAGCAGACGGGGCACTCGGCACCCGTTTAGTTCGAGCTTTAAATCGATCCCCGAGTCGAGCACTCTGTCCACGTCCAGCGCCGATATTCCTGCGTGTCCACGTGACTAATGGACCATTGTCCTGGCACGGACACCGAGAGGCCTGAGAGCACGAAATCCACGAGGATCGGTCGCTTTCAGGGACCGGTCGCTGACATGTACCCGGCAGAATTTAATATACCCTGGGCACCGAGCTTTCGCCCTCCCTTCGCGAAATTTTTCAAAGGTCGGAGAACTCTTCGTCTAATCGATCGTTGTTGCAATCGCGGCAGCGCGGGTTCACGAATTCCTCTTTCCAACGATATTATTTCTGACGATGTCTGTTGTGCGCATCGACAAAGCATTAACATAGAATATTTGAACTTTGTAGGCTCCAATGTTGCACCAGTTATAATATTAAATATTTTAATGAATCCTAAAGAAACTACCCAAAAATTATTCGATCTTCCACACATCCAAGTTTTGCATTGAGAAGGAAAATAAAGATTGAAGAAATATTATAGCATTTCTCATTTTCGCTAGGAATACTATAAAAATTAGTTGCTGTTGCTGATAGGTTACAAAACAACTCGAAGGGTTAACCCTAATCGTACCACGATATGACTCTCAGTCACTTATGAGAATAAGAGAATGATTAAAATGTTATTGTTTTCATTTATAGTGGCCAAATTTTAACAGCCCAAAATCTTTTGGAAATGCAATATGAAATAATCAAAAAATTTCAGTAAAAAGTTCAAACGTGACTCAAAGTCATATCGTGGTCCGATTAGGGTTAAACAAAGTATCAATAAGATAAGTTAATATAATTTTAAACGAACACGGTGTAATTAATATAATTAAATCGAAGTGATTCTTAATAGCATATTAACAAAATTTTCTACATACGACTAATTTGTCTTCCTAAAATTGAATGGCTTAACTGGCAATAAGAGGGAAATAAAGAAGTAATATAGAGAAATCATTTTTGGAGGTGCAGGAAAATTGCGACACCTGTGCGAGAAGAGATTCGCGTGATGCGTGAAGATTCGAATAACAGGAAAATGGTGTTTCCACGGGAGAGCAGTAGGGAGAGCGTTATCGAGCAGATGTTAGCCTGCCTCGGCGCAAGGCAAACGACCATGAACCGATTAGCCCCAGAGCCTCTTTCTGTCGTTTGTTAACAGGCAATCCGGTCCGCGCGAGGCATAGGTTAATTTTAGCGATTGACACTACGGCCTCTAATTGCTCGTTAATCACGTTTCCCAATCGAGCTGCTGCCCCCGTTCAACCTTCCTCTGAACCTCTGCCCTTACTTCGCTCGGAGGCTGCATCCTACGCCAGCACTTCGAACTCTTCTCCCGCGAAGAAAGTTTATCCGAGGGAATTTTTCTTACATTCTGTAATCAACGTGGACTAACAATCTTTCTTGATTCCTTGTTTGATTGCCTTCAAGTTTTACGGAGAACTCTTTGAAACATGGACAAATGAGAGCAAAAGAAATATTCCTCTGTTGCCTTGAGTGTACTATCATGTTTCAAACACAAACTACCGAGTAGTTAAATGAACTGTCTGTAATTTCTCTGTAAAAACTCCAAGAGCGCATTCATCGAGACTTCGATTGATTCACAGTTTACGCATTGGTAAATCGATCTCTTTAATAATTTCTCCGAAAGATATCCGTTACCTTTTTAATCGTTGCACAAAAGTCAGGAATGGGTCATTCTGACTAGTAGTTTTAGTGTTGAACATCCTTCTCTTGTGAATTTTAGAAAACTGATAATACTGTATACCTGTACCTTGACCATTGAACTACAGATACTCATGGAAATTCAAGCTTCCAAGAACTGATTAATGAAAACATGAGTCAAATGGAAACCTGCTATCTTAATGCACGTTACTCGAGCCACGAAGAGTTAAATTCACGTTGTGCCTCGTTAAAATACTCGATCCACTCAGAATCTACTGAAATCGAATATTCGTGTTAGGTTCTACTTAGATTCTGCTCGAATTAGAGGTTATTCTAATTTAACCCCTTGACCTACAATGTCGCGTCAGTCTCGTGACGAAAATTTTAAACTGAATTTCAGAACTCCACGTGTTATTTATTTTTTAAATATAAATTATATATTACTTCTCTATTATCAATCCTTAACCTTCAGAGTAAACGTAGACGTAGAATAAGCAAGAGAAGTTTTTCCTAATAAATGATCAACGATAAAGTAGTTGTATCGATCG